AGTTCAGCACAATAATTATAAACATAACCAATCAATTTATGCTTTGCATGTAAGTTTAATTAATTAGAGTACAAAGCGATTCATGTGTAAATCAAAACACCACATTGTTTATATATTATGTTCATCAACTAATTGATCTTTCTGTCTTGATTTATTTCAATATTACTAATTAGTCCTCTTGTTATGTAGATTTCTATATTATCAAATATTACCAAAAATATCTTTTCTTAAAATTCGTTGAATCGTTTACTTCAATCTAATTAGACATGTATTGACATTGAGTACAAAACATGTATCGGGTTCTAATCAACATGTATCTGGTTTAAAACAACATGTATTGAGTTCTAATCAACATGTATCTGGTTTAAAACAACATGTATTGAGTTCTAATCAACATGTATCTGGTTTAAAACAACATGTATTGAGTTCTAATCAACATGTATCTGGTTTAAAGCAACATGTATTGAGTTCTAATCAACATGTATTGGGTTTAAAACAACATGTATTGAGTTCTAATCAACATGTATCAGGTTTAAAGCAACATGTATTGATTTCTAATCAACTTGTCAGTCAACATGTACTGAGCTTAAAGTAACCTATTATATTTATATATATGTATGTGTTTGATTCAAATCAATATGTTTTATACCATATCAACATGTATTAGGCACAAATCAATATGTTTTATACCCTATCAACATGTATTAAGATCAAATCAATATGTTTTATACCATATCAACATGTATTAGGCTCAAATCAATATGTTTTATACCATATCAACATGTATTAAGATCAAATCAATATGTTTTATACCATATCAACATGTATTAGGTTCAAATCAATATGTTTTATACCATATCAACATGTATTAGGCTCAAATCAATGTTTTATACCATATCAACATGTATTAGGTTCAAATCAATATGTTTTATACCATATCAACATGTATTAAGATCAAATCAATATGTTTTATACCATATCAACATGTATTAGGTTCAAATCAATATGTTTTATACCATATCAACATGTATTAGGTTCAAATCAATATGTTTTATACCTTATCAACATGTATTAGGTTCAAATCAATATGTTTTATACCATATCAACATGTATTAAGATCAAATCAATATGTTTTATACCATATCAACATGTATTAGGTTCAAATCAATATGTTTTATACCATATCAACATGTATTAGGCTCAAATCAATATGTTTTATACCATATCAACATGTATTAGGTTCAAATCAATATGTTTTATACCTTATCAACATGTATTAGGCTCAAATCAATATGTTTTATACCATATCAACATGTATTAGGCTCAAATCAATATGTTTTATACCATATCAACATGTATTAAGATCAAATCAATATGTTTTATACGATATCAACATGTATTAGGTTCAAATCAACATGTATTGGGCTAAAATGAATATGTTTTAGGCTCAAAAAAACATTTATTTGGTTTAAAAAAAGATTGTGTTGAGTTCTAATAAACAGACGCCTGGTTCAAATCAACATGTATTAGATTCAAATCAACGTTTAGCTCAAATCAACATGTATTGAGATCAAATCAATATGTATTGGGTTTAAATCAACATGCTTAGTTTAAACTAAATGGACATTGTATATTGCTCAATTTTTGTGTATTATCATTTTTGGTGTTTCGATCAACATTTATTTTGTGTTCAAAACAATATTTTTTGATGTATTGTTTGGACCAGTTATAATTTAGTAGTATTAATATGATAGATCACATATATCCTACTTAACTTAAAGTATACAGAAAATTCTATCTCACTAATAAGCTATTCATAAAATGTGTTGGAATTGTCAGAGAAAAGCCATATTTAGTTGAAATATACTATGCTAACGTCAACAAAAGCCTTAATTAAAACAAAGCCATGATTTAGTTTGACAGTTAGATTTGAATCTTAGTGACATACTGGCAGATGTATGAATATAATACAATAATAAGTCATAGCAGATTTCAGTGATAACCTGAAATCAATCATTAACATACTCTGTTGGAAGCCAGACTAAATGTGTGTCTTTATGATTATAACCAGAAAACTAATCCTATGTTTAAACATATTGATCAGCGTGAAAGAAATCTCATAACACTTTTAATCATGGCCATTTTATGCTTATAAAGACTATCATGATGCCTCTTACATTCACAATAAGAATGTTAATGTTAATAACTTTTGCTGTTTGGAAAACAATGAATTGTGTTATTCCTCTACTAAAGTAAATAAAAAGGACATCTTATCTGTCATAGTGAGAAAGAAAATGTCATACCAAAGGAAATACACATGATTCCAATGGAAGTAAACAATTGATTCCATTGGAAAAAGCTGATTTCAATGGTTATACATCAGCTGATTCCATTCAAAATACACATGATGTTCCCTGAGGAAATACACACACTGATTCAATTGGAAATTACACATGCATATATCTATGGAAATATACCTGCTGGTTCCAATGGAAATATACCTGCTGGAACAGGTTCCAATGGAAATATACCTGCTGGTTCCAATGGAAATATACCTGCTGGAACAGGTTCCAATGGAAATATACCTGCTGGTTCCAATGGAAATATACCTGCTGGTTCCAATGTAAATATACCTGCTGGAACAGGTTCCAATGGAAATATACCTGCTGGTTCCAATGGAAATATACCTGCTGGAACAGGTTCCAATGGAAATATACCTGCTGGTTCCAATGGAAATATACCTGCTGGTTCCAATGGAAATATACCTGCTGGTTCCAATGTAAATATACCTGCTGGTTCCAATGGAAATATGCCTGCTGGGTCCAATGGAAATATGCCTGCTGGTTCCAATGGAAATATGCCTGCTGGTTCCAATGGAAATATACCTGCTGGTTCCAATGGAAATATACCTGCTGGTTCCAATGGAAATATACCTGCTGGTTCCAATGTAAATATACCTGCTGGTTCCAATGGAAATATGCCTGCTGGTTCCAATGGAAATATACCTGCTGGAACAGGTTCCAATGGAAATATACCTGCTGGTTCCAATGGAAATATACCTGCTGGTTCCAATGGAAATATACCTGCTGGTTCCAATGTAAATATACCTGCTGGTTCCAATGGAAATATGCCTGCTGGGTCCAATGGAAATATGCCTGCTGGTTCCAATGGAAATATGCCTGCTGGTTCCAATGGAAATATACCTGCTGGTTCCAATGGAAATATACCTGCTGGTTCCAATGGAAATATACCTGCTGGTTCCAATGGAAATATACCTGCTGGTTCCAATGGAAATATGCCTGCTGGTTCCAATGGAAATATACCTGCTCGTTCCAATGGAAATATACCTGCTGGTTCCAATGGAAATATGCCTGCTGGTTCCAATGGAAATATACCTGCTGGTTCCAATGGAAATATACCTGCTGGTTCCAATGGAAATATACCTGCTGGTTCCAATGGAAATATACCTGCTGATTTCAATTGAAATACTGATTCTAATTCCATTGAAAATACACTATACACATGCTGATTACAATGGTAATATTTTTTCACTTCCCACGAAGTTAATTCTATAAGTTAGACAAGTGGAAAGAGGATCCATTAAGTTGAGAGTGGCATCAGGGAAGTGGGGTATTGATGTATTTTTTACAATAATTTTATTTATTATAGTGAAATAAAGAATATGTATATGGAATTGAAATAGACAGTGATAAAAAAAATATTTTATTTCCATAAGCAATATATAGAATATTTACACCAACAAAATAAGCAATTTATATATCAAAATGAAATAATTTTCCAATGCCCATGAGTTTAAATTTTTATTTCTAACTCTTCCGCTACTTTCATATAAATTGAATGACTAAATTTCATAAATCTCTAATATTAGGAGTGAATCGCACTACAATATAAAATAAGTCACTATTGACAAAAACAATCTATTTTGTATGTCCGTATAGAAATGTGTACATCATATTTCTTGTAGATATGATAGCAATTTTATTTTTTAAGCATTCTTTATGTAACTCGGTATGTGTATGGATGACAACTTGGCATATTTTGATAAATGTCTTTTGATTTTTTTTCCTTGTATGAGTTAAAATGAAGACTATGATGCCTTGATTGATAAAAAGCCACATCTTATTTTCAAATTTTACATGGTACTTTACTACTCCATATTTTGAATTAATAACAAATTAATATGACTAGTAGGTTGTCTTTTGTCACATGAATGTTCAGGTCCCATAATCTCAAAACGATCTTCTGACACTGTTTCGAGGATATCCTGGAGCTAAGATAATTTTGAGAATACAGGATTAGAACTCTTAACTTTTGATTTTCTCTGATTCTGGATGAATGACGCGTCCAAAATTTTGCTTGTAGGTGCGATTTTAACAATACTATTTTTGTCCAATCATGATGAAACTTGATATGCTTGATAAATAAATTAATTGAATGAATTTCTTAATGCAAATTTTTTTGGGGAGTGTTCAATAACAAACCCTGAACATCCATCTTTGATCATATAATACATAACAAAAACAAATTAAGGCTTTAACAAATATTTATACAAACTTTGGTAACATTATATCACTGTAATAATTATTATCAATATCACTTTATAACTCCTCATTCCTCATAAAGTTTACATAATTTACAATACAACTTTAATTGTTTCCACTTTTATACAATAAGCTAAACTTTCAAATGTCACTTTAAACAATAAAAAAATAAACCAACAATATTCAAAATATTTTTTTTGTGGGCTCTGGCATTAAGTTTTACTCATATTGAACACTATGTCTGCATTTAAACAAAGCAAAATGGTTTCCTCTAATTAAATATATTACGCAGAGTCTGACTTTTTGTGAAATTCAAATGATCTAAATTTTCAGATATAGTAGCCTCATCTTAAGACCAACTTATCTATGTGCATATGAAGCATCCATCACTATCTCATTGTTATTTTGGGGTCCATCATGACAAGCTTCCATCATCAGCAGACGTCTATAGGCTGTCTGGAAATTCCTGTCCATTAATGTATATATAATTGGATTTAAAGAGTATAATAACCAGGCTAAAAATGGCGCCAGAATGTGGGCAATCTGTTTTGTATACTTGGGATCAAACAAATTGGTAAGAAAATAAGGAGTGGTGCCGAGTAAAAATCCAATATAAATACAGGCCATCATACCTGTTAGTCTTAAAGATTCTCGTTGAGCTTTTTGTTTACGATAGATACTGGCGCGAGACACACGTTTACGAGTTCGGTAAGCTACACATCCTATTCTGGCATAACATACTAATATAAACAAACACGGAATCACATAACCTAATGTTATTGTAGTAATTTTGTGTGATTTCTCTGCCTGGGGGTCAAAAGTACATCTCAAAATCATATTTTGAAATGAAAAATCACCCCAAACTCCGATTAAGGGAGTTATACAAAAATATAGTGGAAAAATCCAACACAGAACTATAGCAGAAATAAATGGACCACGAGCAGTAAACTTTTGATAACTTTGAATATGAACTATATGAAGACACCGGTATAAAGCAATAGCACTTAGTAACATCATATTTACTCCAATTAACCAAATTCTGGTTGCAGCATGAAGTTTACATACAACATCTGATAATGGCCAGCTACGAAAATGAAAGGCCACAGCTTGCAATGGAAGAACTAAGGCTAAATATAATACATCTGCAAAACTTAAATTTCCAATGAGAATACTGTTGATGTTCATTTTCAAGGGTGATGTTATAATAGCTAAAACAGTGACTAAATTTCCAGTAACACCTACCACTGCCAGAATGATGGTTATAATCTCCAAGGTCAAGGTCACTGTTTGATTCAGACATATTGCCTCTCCACAGGGTGTATTAAAAGTTAAATTCATCATGGATCCATTTCCTGTACCTTCCATTTTTAAATCTTGAGAAAAAAATGATATATATTGTAAGTCATCATCTTCTCCCACAAAAAAAGTCGCATTCAATTTGTAAAACTTGATCTTTAAACACTAATACCATGTCCAAGAAACACCTGGTGTTGCCAGCTTGAATCTCTATTTATTAACAGATTTTTTTTAGAGCTCATCCATTTTTAAGGGTTAAACACTATCAGGTATAGGAAATTTACGGCATCTGAGTTTTAAAGCTAATTTACTAAAGCTATATCAATTTCCTTAAAACTAATCCATTATTTAAAGTCCAATTCCATTAAGAAACTTAAGATTTATGGTTGAAAAGTGCTGTAAAAATAATGCTCTCTACACAATAGTTTTATAAGTACTGAACTGGGAATTGGTTAAAATAAAGTGACAATTCAATTGTCTTATCAACTCACCACATTTAGAATTATTATTGAGAAACCTTTTAAATCTAAATATGTCTAGTTCACAGACTGTTTATTGTAATTACTAGTTAAGTTTCCTCTCCTGTAGCTATAGAACTGGAGTGATATATGCTTTTAATGAAGTATAAAACTTCAATAGAATTAATCATCTGTTTAAATTTCCAGTACAGGTAGGTCACTTTCCACTTAAAATGCCATAAATTTTAAGTTTTTTTTTCACTTCATATAAAGTTAAACTGTATGACATGTAAAATCTCACCTGCTTCAAGTGTTCTTGTGAACATTCAAACTAAATAATGGTATTCTACAACGTTGGACTAATATATACTATTAAATATACCGTTGGTCCCTGTAAATGATATTGTCACTGTATCAATTTAACACGTTTCACATCTGAACTTTAGAAATTTAGTACTAAAATGTTTTTCACACTGTTAATTTTCTCAAATGTTCAGAGTTTTCATATATAAATTTGTATTCCTTAAAATGCATTAAACACAATTTAAAAGAAAAGTATGTTTTCAAAATCTACATTTCATCACAAAAGGTCTAAGTTAAGATAAGTTGGTCTGTCAACTAACTAAGTGGACATTGACAAGTCTAGGTGGTTCTCAATTTATTGAGTTAAAGCTGTTTATCACTGTTTTCCTATATATTGTGGTTTTCCAATGTATAGTGTAGTCACATCAAACAATCAGAACACTCCTAAAGTATAAACATCTGTAATTCTGAAAAAAATATAAAATGTCAAAATAACAAATTTAAAACCATGGTTACTCTGTGAAACATAATTCCATTCTTAAAAATTAATGGCCTATTAATTCCAAATTAACAAGTTAAACTAAACTGGAATATGCCCAAACTGTTCAGTAACCATAACCTATTCTTTTTACCTATTTACATACGTATTGATATTAGCAGTTAGGTCAAGCATCTCGTCAAAAGTTTATTGAACTAATAATTACAATCATTAAAGATGTTTATTTCATAAACCTTTGATAATTGTGTTGATAATTTTAGACAGTTTAGTAGATGGTACAATTAGAAGCACTTTGAACAATTCTCACTGATACTTCTGTATACACCTGTAATCTGCTGCCGGAGAAAGTCACGTATTCAGCTAATTGCCTTGGTGAAAGAGCAGCTCAATGTTTGATAGAAGTTGACTTCTACAATGAAACAACTGGTTGGTGTCAGACAGATGTAAATTGTAGAAAGAGGTCAGCACAACCTTTATTCAGGATAACTATCATCTTTTCTATAAATGTAAATTTCCCTTTTCAAGGTTTTTTTGTTTTCAATTTTTTTCAACTATTATTTTCCAATAATATTTGCATTTCAGTCTGAATTTTAAAGTATTTCATCTTATTAGTTTATACCTTATAATATAAAACTACACGAACTAAAGTTTAGCAGCTTAGTCGACTTAGCCGCTGGAGTGAGTTACTGTCAAGCTGGTCATGAGCTATTTATTACAACTTTCTTACAGGTCTATATCTGTATCAGCTAGTAATTGAGTAAAAGGTTTGATTCTAGACAAAGATTTTATGCTGTAGTCCTCATGCGTCGGCCATATTGAATCAAGAACGAGGCTCATAAGGCAAACCTTATCATATTTTACATCATTAATTTTGGAATTGATGAAGCCAATTATTGATACTGTCAGACTAATTTTATTTCCACACATTTCTGACAAAGGGCAGTATCAATCAATCTTATCAATGGATGACATAATTTGCGCTATGAGCTTCCAGTGTCTAATCAAAGATCCGTGAATAAGGTCTATGAATTAAGAAATCACATCCTAATTCTAAACACCCACCACCACCATTACACTATACACACAAAATTGATGAAATATATGTACCTGTTACATCCAGAACTTGAGCTAGTTGAAATTTCTCATATTAACCATCATATAAACATCACATTCTCTCTTGTTTCTGTACCTGAAAATAACAGAAAAGATACAGAATGAGAAATAAATATTTATTTTATCATCAAAAAATAGCATCAAATTTTCCATTTCATTCTTTCGTACTCTTTCTCTTGTAGTTTTTAATCATGATAGTTTACTTTGAGATTTCTTCAGTATTCTAGATAGAATAGATGTTTTTAGCACCCTGTTTAACATAATATGTTAAATTGATTGATATATTATATTGAGATTAATTAACAAATTAACACTTCTACTTTTGAAGAATGAAAGTATGTAGGTAATGTTAACAACCATTAGGGATCAAATGTTCAAATGAAGAAACAAGACTGTAAATTTCTAAGCTTTAGCAATTTTCAAAATAGCTACCAGGAGTTAAGAACATAGAGCTTATCAATCTTTCATAAAAGAGCCAATGTAAGCTTGTATTTCAAGTGGTATTCCGTGAAAGTTCTACAATATATCACAGTAATGAATACCATTATTATCCATACTACAGTTGTTTCAAATTTCAACAGTGAACTGTAAACACTTTTACTGATTAGTGGATCAATTCATGTTTTTAAGACCCAGACATGATTTACTAACGCAAATGATGGTTAAAGGGATCATGAGCATGTCCCTATAAGTATCTTTCAAATACACTTGTTAGTTAATAAAGATCCATTGCTGTGATGTCACATCAGACAGCAAGCTATGATATAAAGATTCAGTCAGCAACTAAGACCAACCAGCAGTTGGGCATGATCAACAATTTGAGAATGATCATTTGATTGTAGGTAATAGTTTATAACACTAACTGAAATTTCAAATTTATAAGTAGTATAAGCATGATAGACACACCAGACATCGCTCAGTTGTTGCCACTATTTGCCGATTGATGGTGTTTACTTTGACATATTCAAAAGAAATGCCAAGGTCGGTCAACATGTTGAGGTTGACTATTTTGGGGGACCTTTCCTGTAGTTTCCTCATGTCTAACCGCGACCTAGTTTGTAAGATTGCAAATGGTAGCTGTCGGGTGTGACGGGACTGTTGGTGAATGAGTGATTTAATTTATAATACTTATATGGCATGTCAGACATTCATAAATGAAAATCACATCAATCAATCAATGGCCTTGATTTACATTGTCTGTCAATTTTACATCAAGTTAGATATGATTCTGTTGTATTATGATTGAAATATGTCCAATTATTTATTATATAGTTATGCATATGTAAGACAGAATTGGTTTGCTTTGACAGTAAATGTTTGGTTCCTTGTGATGGATTTTATGATCTAGACCAATGTATTTTTGTGTATTTACTAAATTCCTCATTGTGTTATATATTATGTGCATTTGATCAGTTCTTCTGAAGATTTAGAGAGATCCTACAGTTAATTTGCTATGAAGCCCTATAATGTTTGAAATTGGAAGTCAGATGCAGCCTTATATAATATATTTTCCACAAGCTATTTGCAGATATCTCTACACTACTTCTTGCTTTCATGTTTTAACACAGGAGTATATTGTAATTAGATGTGGCGCCAACCTCTCGAAACAGGGGGTACAGATCAGAGGCAGACTGACTTAATGGGGGGCAACTGTTGTAGCCGAATTCAAAATGCGGCAACTCTGTTGGGGTGTCATAGTCGCTAGCCTCTCATGGAGTTTTTGAGAGGGTTGTTCAGAGAAAATTTTCGAAAAAGTTGATATGGTGTATTCTGATGCATAACTTGGTTCAAAACGTTAAAAAAAAACACAATCAAATATCATCTAAACTATCTTTGAATGTTTTAAATGACAATCTCCTGGCATAGAATGAGAGTTTTGAAATGAAATAAATAGGATTTAACATCCTTCTTTTCTGAATCAAATTGGTTAATGTACACATATACACAGTTTATAGGGAATGGGACAATAAACCGTATGCTACTGGATGTGAGATCTATCAACAGTTTGAAAAAAGAGTAGGCTAATGACATCTTGGCAAAACTTTCCTTATACTGTATGCTGCATAGTGTTGCCTGTCTTCATTAACTTAATCAGATGCAGAAAAGTAAGACATTTAGCATCATTTCATTTGTGACACATTATTTACATACTTTAATCTTTTAAACACTAGTCCCTTACCTCCAGACTTTCCTAATAATCTCAATACATTATCTTACTTTCAGATTATAAAATAGATGGACTGGACAATAGATACTATATTCTGAACTATTTTATGAATTATTGATACAGTCATTCTGACAACAGTAGATAATATGTTAACATAACTGAAATACAGTAATTGTCCCAAATAGATCCCACCAATTTGAGTGTAGCTTGCCATAATTTTGGTTATTTTCTCCAACTTGAATTTTTACTTCGTTGTATGGATTTAGTGGATTATAGAGTGATTCTGTTGTATAGTTATAACACTTAGTAAGTCCACTGATAAAAACACACTCATTTAACCAAGTTTAAAAATTTCAATATTTTGGTCATCCTAAGAGGCCAGTAAGGTAGATTTCCTAAACACCTGATGTCACTCTTTGTAAGATAATGATCATTCAGTGCTTTCCTGAAATTTTATAAAGAGGTTTATTACGAATATTTCTTGCAGGCCTTTTATTCACCTTTCCTAAATTCTTTAATTTTGATAACCGGGG